AGTGTACAATTGAGTTTTTTAACCCTGGGAGTGAATCATAGAAAATATCCACATGTTTGGAGCAGTCATTATACAAACCAGACATTCGAGCCACGGGGGAGTTCGAACCCAGTACTGTTCTACGACGTGGCGGGTGAAAAGGCTTAATGCGAAATCTGGGACGTTTAGGGGGAATTCTAAAATTTAAATTACCAAGTAGTTGTGGGCAGTCAACCATATTGTGAATGAGCTTATAAAGAAAAACTATATCTAATAATTCTCTGCGCTTTGAAAGAGGAGTAATTTTAAAATGTTTAAGTCTTTTGTCGTATGATTTAATTTTTTTTGACAGCCCAGCAGAGAAAGACAAATGCCATAAAAAGCGCTTTTGAACACGTTCTAGGTGCAATGAATTAACAGCATAATGGGGTCGCCATACCACACTGCAATATTCAAGTACACTCCTAACCAAACTGTTGTATAAAATTATTTTCACCTTAGCACTGCGAAAGATTTTTCCGTTTCTCAAGACAAAACCTAGCATCCTGGACGCTTTGTTAATAGTTGACTCAATATGCGGTTTAAAAGTTAGTTTTTTGTCAAATATGACGCCCAGGTCCTTTACACAGTCCATCTCTGCAAGAACGGTGCCCTCTAAAGTATACACTGCTGGAAACACATGTATTCTACGAGTAAATTTAATAAATGAACATTTGCCAGTGTTCAGAAACATGCCATTAGATTTGCACCATATGCTAAGATTGTTAAGGTCATTTTGTAATAATTTACAATCCGTCATTGAATTGATTACCTTAACCAATTTAAGATCATCGGCATACAAAAATGGTGTTGAAAATTTAAAAAATTTAAAATTTGTAAAATTCTGCCAGTTTCCATAAAGCACAAATACCTTGTAGCTGTTAATAACTTTGAAACACAGGAGCGTAGCTCATTATTGTGTCCTGTTAATAATGACTGTAACACGAGATCAATGACCTCAGGTAAATATGTAGTACCAAAGGTTAAAAATTATTATGGAGATAGAACCCTAAAAAAACGTATTCCGTACCTACTGAATAGTTTCCCTGAGGTTATTAGACGTGAACATAAGAAAAATAAATTTAAACGTCTTTTATTCCAGCACTTGTTGACTAGTTTAGATTAATTATTAATATTGTAATAGCGAGCTTCATATTTTGATCCCGCAGTCAAACTGAATAATTCAGTTTTGTGGGACTATGTTCTAGATTAAGAAAATGTATTTTTGTAATTAATAAATAAATAAAAAAATAGTTACGTGATTATATTATTTGGGATGCCTAGGAAATATCCTTACATGGTTATAATAGTGGTTGCGCTATTTCTCCATAACCTTTAGTCCAGAGTAAAGAAGTGCATTGCAGCAAAAGTATAAGAAAAAATATGCTAACATTTATTATTTTTTTGCAAATATAACAAAATACTAATACATTGTCCAATGAGGAAGAAAAACATTTCTCCGATTAATAATAGTTACAATATGGTTACAACCCGCATATACGCGGATAATCTGCATAAATTAAAATATCCGCATTCATCGATGCTGATATTCATATTTTAATCGTGACATGACCTAAAACGCGTTCTGGAATAATTTACAAACCTTCCAAAAACAGACGGTAAGCCGAAAAAACAGCTCAAAAGGTGTTTTTAAAATATAACTTTGACAAAATTCCACAACAAATAAGCTAGGCAGATAGATTGTTTTCATGCACATTGAATCTTTTGATAATAAATATTACAAAATCATTGAAATAATGTTTTATTACCATACCAAAGAAAATAGAAAGCTTGTTCATGATCTATATTCAGTAAGGATGTATATTTTTCGCGTTTTTAATACATAAAATCAGCATCCGCATCAGCAATCCGCTGATGTGTAAAGAGCCCGCATCAGCAACAATCCCGGTACGGCCTACAGCTATATTTCACAAGTTGCACTTTTTTTGTTATTTTACCGCTACCTTATATTTCAGGTTACCTGAGTGCAGTGCAGTTGTAATAATTTTTTTTATTTATTTACTTATTATCTTTGTACAATATCATCCGAAACGGTTTTCATTAGTTACACAAAGAGTTTGCGGAAATTAGCCCGTCGCACCAATACCAATACACAAAGAGTGGATGAAGTTAAAACCAAAACTCAGATACTACAGGTATTTTAAGATATATTACATATTCTCCGAGCTTCTGGGTGAATAACAAATGTGAAGAGTAACAATACTTACGATGTCCAAAATAAGCCTCGTACGTTATAAATATCCTTTATTTGTGTACGTGGATAGTAAAAGAGCGTTACCGATTTTTGCATTGTTAATAAAACTTAAACTGTTGACACAATTGTTTAATTGGCCTAACTTGACAGTTGGAAATAAGGAACACTTTTGTAACTTTCGTCTCAGCTGTAATTAAATTTTAGCGAACAGAAATGAAGCACAATTTTAACTAAATACGTATTGTGGATAACACTTATTAGTATCCGTCATCTTTTAGCGTTTATGGCTGCTGGCTATAATCTAACCGCAAGTCTACTTTATTGATTTAAATTAACAGTGTTCGTCATAGCTATCGTTTTCGAACGTACACACGACCAGCTAGAAACATAAATAAGTAAAAATTAATAGTTTTTATGGTTAATTATAATATACAGGGTAGAAATTTGTAATGCCACTTGGAAGGAAATTACGTTAAATACTGGAGATAGAAATTTTTACTTAAAGGAAACATTCCTTTATTTTTAAAAAGAAATAATACTGCATTCAAAGATTTTCAAAAATTGCTAGTCACACGCGGGAATCGAACCCGCTAAAATCTTTTAAAAAATGCACCCTGTACTTTTATTAAATCAATCGATAGGGTCAATTATGAAGATGAAATCTCTCTTACAAACCATGAAATCTGGAGTTATAAATTCAATGGGTCAAGTTAAAGCACTTTTACTCAAAGATCCATCAGATTACTTGTTAATTATCGTTGACGTCATTTATCCATTAAAATGACGAAGTACTATTTAGATAAGAAGATTGCAATTTGCACATGTTTGTAATGCAGACTCTTTGGTCAGTGGTATGAGGTAAAATGGAGCTCATTTCGAGCAACTAATTAGTTAGATTACCATTATTTTCGTTTTATTAAAATACGTTAAGATTTCATGGTTTTTTTTTTCATTTCATTAACCAATTTTGTGAGAGAGATTTTATTCTTATAATTAACCCTATCGATTGATGCAATAAAAGTGCAGGGTGCATTTTTTTCAGAGCAAAGCGGGTTCGATTCCCGCGTGTTGTTAGAAATTTTCGAAAATCTATGAATGCAGTTTTATTTCCTTTAAAAAATAAAGGAATGTTTCCTTTAAGTAAAAATTTATATCTCCAGTATTTAGAGCACTTTCCCTCCAGGTGGCATTACAAATTTCCACCCGGTATGTAAGAAATAACTCACGATTGCACAAAAGTAAATATGGTAACAAACTCTTAAAATACCTGTAGTATCTGAGTTTTATTTTTATTTTATCCACTCTTTGTGTAAATAATGAAAACCGTTTCGGATGATATTGTATAAAGATAAAAGAATAAGCAAATAAATAAATAAATAAACAAAATTATTACAACTGCACTGCACTCAGGTAACCTGAAATATAAGGTAGCGGAAAAATAATAAAAAAAGCGCAACTTGTGAAAGATAGCTGTAGTTCGTACCGGGATTTTTGCTGATGCGGGCTCTTTACACGTCAACGGATTCCTGATGCGGATGCTGATTTTATCTATTAAAAAACGCGAAAAATATACATCCTTACTGAATATGTCTACATGAACAAGCTTTCTACTTTCTTTGGTATGGTAATAAAACATTATTTCAGTGATTTTGTAATATTTATTATCAAAAGAATCAATGTGGCATGGCATTGCACCAAGTCACGCGATTCGTTTTTTGAGCCTCAGTCAAATTGTGTGGGATCCAGGGAGAGTACAGCTTTTTCACACCAAAATATTTGTGTCTGTGTGTGTATTAAATCCTTCTAACAGCTGAATCCATTCTGTGATTTCATGCGATTTATTTTTTGTGTGGTGCGGTAGGTACATTCGTAATGTGAAATTGATTTTCATTTAATTTGTTTATATTATATACAAGTGTTTTTCTTTTCCTTGTACCAAGATATCGCTAAACATTTACCTTTTCCTTGTTGGCCAGAAAGTCGGAACAGAACTCACATGATTATATTTTGTTACAGAACCACTCGAGAACGTGTGATTCGTCAGCTCTGGCCGTGTAAGAGATAGTTGTTGCTACAAAACATCATGTAATAAAATCTGATTTTTAATTTACTATTATTGTTACATGTTCTTCATGTAAGACTCCCGCGCTGGGTTGTTCTTGGCGCAAAGATTATCCATTGCCACACAGCGAGGCACGTTTGCGCGGGGATCACTCAGGGGCGAATTTTTTCACGAGTGTGAGCAGTGAGCCGTGTAATTTGTAATTTCTTCACTTATTGAAATGATTTCTTAGCTGCGGCTATAGTTAGTGTACGGCAGATGTATTAAAAATTAATAAGTTATTAGTTTAGATACCTACAAAAAAATGTTAAAATACATTGCAATTTGTAAATAATCATTAGTATTGGAATATTTGATCATTTTAACACTCAATTTCTGTTCGATTTCATGTCACTTATTATTGTGAAGTAAGTAAATTCGTGGCGCATTTCCTTGCACCATTGGACAGAGTTGTCGAAGAGTGGATTCGGAAGGGGCAAACCCGGTCGAGTATACACTGCCCTCGTAACGAAAAAAGGCACAACTATGCGTACTTTACACAGCAGTTGTGCCTTTTTTCGTTCCGAGGGCAGAATAAAACCTCACACGTGACATACGAGCAGAGAGAGTCATCGACCACACTCGATCAGTCACTCATCCGAGTCGGTTGTGTTTCAGGTATCTGCTCCGCTCTGCTCGTCCGGCTGCTCGTCTGGCCGTGCCCCTGCCTTCGTTCGTCCCGCTCCTGCCGCCGCATATCTGCGCTCACCTGGCGGCACGTGTTCTTTTCAGAACACCGGCTCGGTGCTTCGTTACTAAGTACTTTTTCACTTATTTTACATTCCTTACTTGTTTTGTTTAACATTTACTAATTCACTTTCTTTTTTCCCTTCTAGAGTTTCATTGATTGTATCATCTCGGTTCGCTTTCCGGTAGATACCTAACGGTGCCAAAAAAAGCCGGAGGCCCCCGTAGAGCCCGAAAATGGTAGGACCCAGCCTGGTTGGCCGTATTTAGTATGGCCCTTTCGGTCCCTGCATTCGTCCCGTCGCAACTTTAGCGATGGATCCTCACCAACCAAAACATACGCGGCGCCGCGATTTCTGAATTCCCCGACTTAGCTGCCTATCCGTAAAATATCGAAATGCACGTATCGTGCTTTCGTCGTCCGCTGTCCCTGACTTTCAGGAGATGCATATAGTCCTTCAGTCCTCTGATAAATCCGACGCCACGAATGACTCTGACGACTCAGACTATACCCTAGTAAAAAGGCCAAGCGCTCCCGCGCTACCAAAACAACAAACTGCCATGCCCGCAAGGCAATTAAAGCCCAAAAGACAAACCCCCGTCCGTCCTCCGCGCAAGCCAGACCTAAAACCCCCTGCTCGTCCAAGCAGCCACTCGCACCGGTAGCCAAAGCCCCGGAGCCAGCCGCTGCCCTTATCGTCATCCATTCCAAGCCTCGGCGTCAATTTCCTCAAAGCCAAAGCTCCCAAGCCAGCCGCTGCCCTTATCTTCATTCATTCCAAGGATTGGCATCAATTTCAAAGCCAAAGCGTCCGAGCTTACATTAAGGTCCAGTCGTCGCCCGACCACCGCCGTCTTTACGGGTAGTACACTGAGCGACATGAGTATAGATTACTACTCCTCCCTCATGAGATCCACCGCGTATATAAGAGCCGCTCCCGCTAAACATACGTCATTCCTCCTTACACCCGAAGGTAAGAAGGTTTTTAATCTGACTAACTCTTGCCTAACCGTTGAGCCTCCGCGTAAACGTGCCGTGGCATGCTCGAGCAATGCCATAATTGCCAGTTGTACGGCCACGTTAAATGTGCAGTGGACCACGCGACTTCAGCCTGCACCAGGCCCAAGGATAGGTCCCAGTGCATCGAGCTTCCCCAGTGTCTTCTGTGCGGGGAGTCCCACACCGCGAATGTACCAAGGCCACAAGATGGCAGCGCGCACTGCGACCCATCCAAAGGCCAACGTGAAACCGCGACCACAACCCCTTATGTCCATTCGTAGTTTCCCGGCGATCAACCCCGCTCACGTAGCCCCGTCTACCGCCTCAATCGCCATAGGCAATCCCTCGCGCCAACGGCCCTACGCCCGACGCTCCGAAGCAGTCAAGCCCCATCACCGCCGCGGGCCATTAGGCAAAAGCATCGTCAGCGCCTTCCGCGCAACGCCCTCTCACGAACGCTCCCGCGTCTCCGCACCGTTAGCATCACAGGCCCACTTCCTTAAGGACAACCTGGCCCTCGTGAGCTACTTTGTTAGCACCTTCGACGTGCAGAAACTAGCCGCGCTCCTCCGATCCACCGACGGTAATGGCAACGCGCGTCTTCTCGCTGTGCCGCGGTTCAGCTCACTCGTCGAGTCTCTGAGCCAATTCTCCGCCTCTTCCTTCTCTCACTAATATGGATTTATTAACCTGTAGGAGTAGAGTCAAGGTTCGATCGTTAATACTAGGCTTTTTTAACGCGGATGGCTTATTGAAGCAACGATAGTGAGTTCGAACCCACCACAAACACCACCAGCACGATGTCCTGTTAATACAAGAAACCTTTTTAAACCCTCTGTTCGAACACCCTTTTTCGCCAAGTATTTCGCGGTTTGCAATGATAGATCAAACGTTCCTCGGCGGTACCATTATTTATTACAAAAGATCGCTTAATTGCAACCCTCTCGACCTTCGCCCTACAACGTACATCGAGGCATCGGCATGTCAGCTCGGCCTCACCGGCATCATTTCGGTCTACCTCTCCCCTGATACTTCTTGATCGAAGCCCTCTTGCCCCGAGAGACTCTGTCCTTTTGCATGGAACACCACCAACCCCTGAGGTAACGCTCTCTTGACGCTATCCGAATCCATGCATTTCGATATAACTGCACCCTTAGAGCTCACCCTCTATCCTTTTTTTTTTTTTTTTTATAAAATATAGGTGCGCATTTGACCTCCATCTCACCTGATGGAAAGTGACGATGAGGTCGACGATGGAGCATGCACACCTAAATAATGCCTATTCACTCTCGCCTTGAAAAGGTCCAAGTTATAACGTTCAGGGAACAAGTCTGCAGGCAGGGAATTCCACTCCATAGCCGTTCGCCATATAAATGTGGAAGCGTAACGCTTCGTGCGAATCTTTGGAATATCCACAACATAGGGGTGGAACCCAAGCCTACGCCTAGTCCCCCGGTGATGGAAAGGGGAAGGCGGAATTAAATCATGTAATTCCATCGCACACTCTCCGTGATATATCCTGTAAAATACCGATAAGCAGGCAACTTTACGGCGGTGTTCAAGGCTCTGCAGCTTCGCCTCCACTAATTCCGAGTCACCTATAAGCCTCTTGGCACGGTTGTCAATTGAATCCAAAGTGGCCAGTTGATATGTCGCAGAGCCATCCCAAAGGTGGCAGCAGTACTCCATGCACGATCGGACTTGTGCTTGGTACAGCTGGAGCAACTGTCCCGGTGTAAAGTACCGCCTCACCCTGGAAAGGATCCCAAGCTTCCTTGCTGCATTTTTGGCCGTGGATTCAATGTATCTGCCGAAGTTCAAATTGGACGACAGGTCCATTCCAAGTAGCTGGAGACAATCGGCTATCGGTATGGATATATCACGAAAAGTCGGAGTCAGCTCAAAGGGACTCCGTTTTGTGGAGAATAGACACGCCTGCGTTTTGGTAGCGTTAAATTTGACAAGATTGGCATTGCCCCAATCGGAGACTGCCTGGAGTGTCAAATCTAAACGGCTAACCATGGACTCTCGACAAGACTGGATTTCCTCTCCACTGACCCTTGCATTGGTCAAGTACCTATCTACAACTGTGCTGTCATCAGCATACGCAAAGGTACCTGGAATTAACATATCATTGATATGCAGCAGAAAGAGAGTTGCAGACAGTACGGAACCCTGAGGAACTCCGGCATCTATCGCCATATGTTCGGAAGAGTAGCCTTCTAAGACCACTCGAATCGAACGTTCGCTCAAGAAATCCGAGATCCAATTGCAAAGGTCAGTGGGAAGCCCATAAGAGGGAAGCTTGCTTAAAAGGCTTGCGTGCCAGACCCTGTCAAAGGCTTTAGAAATGTCCAAAGACACTGCAAGTGCTTCGCCTTGCTTTTCTATAGCCTCGCTCCATATGTGACAGGCATACACAAGAAGATCCCCAGTAGATCGCCCTCGTCGGAATCCGTACTGGCGATCACTGAGGAGATCGTTGTCTTCAAGGTACGATAGGAGACGGTTGTTGAGTACACGTTCCATAGTCTTGCAGAGTATGGAAGTGACTGAGATAGATCTATAGTTGACAGGGTCAGCTCTGCTTCCCTTTTTTGGTACAGGTTGCACGTTTGCAAGCTTCCACGACCTGGGAACTACACCAGTCTCAAGTGAGAGGCGGTACAGGCGTGTGAGAACAGGAGACAACTCAGGTGCACAGTTACGCAGGACTATTGCTGGAATTCCATCTGGCCCGCTAGCTTTATTCACGTCTAGATTTCGCAGAGTTCTAAGTACCTCTTTTTGGCGTATGCGAACTGGCGCCATAGTGCAGCCAGCCTGAGGTAAAGTAGGTGGTAGGGTCCCTGCGGCATCTAGACGCGAATTTTCTGCAAAGAGTGAGGCAAAGAGATTCGCCTTCTCTTCCGCAGTATGAGCCAGCGAACCATCCGGCCTCAGCAGAGGTGGCAAAGATGGGCGACAAAAGTTCGATTCGACCGCTTTGGCCAGGGATCAAAAGGATTTGCTGCCTGCTGGATAAGAGGCAAGCTTGGCTCCTATGCGGCGCACATGGTCGAACTTGGCCCTACGTAACATGCTTTTGCACTTCTTGGCGGCCTTATTAAAAGCTTTCTTCATGTTCTGAGTACTCGGAGTTTTGCGTAGTCGAGCATCTGCCCAAGCTTGGTACGCGGACTGTTTACGTGCTTCAGCACAACTACAATTAGCGTTAAACCATGGACGAGCTTGGGGTCCATTGGGTACATCAGAGTATGGAATGTAATACTCCATACCCAAACGCAAGACCTCGACTACAGCATCAGCACAGCTCGACGAGTCTCCTGAAGTAAAGCACGCCTGCCAGGGATATGACGCAAAGAAATGGCGCATTTCGTCCCAATCTGCTAACTTGTATCGCCACACCCGTCTCATACCACTAGGGCCCTGATCGGGTGGGGAGTATACGGATACAGTTTTCACCAGACAATGGTCGGAAGTACCCAGTGGGGCCTCCACAACCACAGAGTATCGGTCCGGATCAGTTGTCAGCAGAAGGTCCAAGCAATTAGCCGTATGGGATTCAACATCTGGTATCCTAGTGGCGCCACTGACAAGCTGGGATAAGCTTAGCGTTAACGCAAGTTTACGCGTCTCTCTCCCAGCGTGATCGGTCTTCTGGTATGGGAACAACCATTCTTGATGGTGTGCATTAAAGTCCCCCAGAATGACTAGTTGCGCCGCTGGGTACCTATGCTGAATCTCATCAGACGTCTCACTTAGATATTGGAACAGCTTGGTCGTCTCCTGATCTCCACTGAGCGATCGGTAAACACAGCAGTACACTATTTGTGTAACTCCTGTGTCAACCAGAAGCCATAAAATTGAAAAACTCGGTGCCTCAAGGTTCTTGAGACGCTTGACACAGATGTCATCGCGAACGTACACACAGACTCCGGCACGAGGTACGAACCTGTGCTCCAGAGTATACCCGGGGTAGCTGAGGTACGCTGCGTCAGTCGGACATCTGATCTGCGTCTCTGTGAGGAACAGCAGCTGCGGTTTGTCGGTTTCAAGGTGGTAGTGGACC